CCGGCCGGCGAGGAATTGAACAACGACCGTTCCAGAACCGACTCGGAAAGCTCCATTCAAATCTGTCTCCCGCCCCGACAGCCTCGCAGAAGCGCCGCCACTAAGCACTGGCAGAGGCACGTCACGACACTGCGGGCACCATGCCTTCGGCGACGGCACGAGCACCCAGCCGCCGCAGTCACACTCCCGAAGAAGCACAGCAGCACTCACGACAGAGGACGAGAACCACGTGAAACGTTCCGCTCTCTCCTGCGCCTGGCACTGTGGCGGGCTGGCAGCAGGAGCAAATCGCAACTGCTGCTGCTGCTGCTGCTGCCACCTACCACCCGCTTCCAGGACGACCGGGAAGATGATCAGCTGATGGACCGCCAGGCGGCCCTCGTCTGCATCACACACACACCCACATGCAAGTTTGCGTGCACGCGCTTGCTTGGCACGCACACGAATATCCTAACAGAACATACACTGAGAAACCGGGCTCCCCGTGCACACGGGAGGGCAAAACAAGTACAAAAACAAGTGGCGCCAACCTTGTGCTTGACGAAGGAAGCTCTCGCTGCTAGTGAGGAGGAAGAGGCCGAAGGAAGAGGAAGAGGAGGAGGACCAGGGAGAAAGAAGAGGAAGGAGGAGGAGGAATAGGAGGAAGGGGAGCACACACGAGTGACGGTGGGTCAGCTGGTCGTGGGGCCTCGCGGCGGGCAGCGAGCGAGGCAGAGACGAGCGTTCCTACAGCTGTTCCAGCCTGGTGCCTCGCTCACACTCCGGGATCAATAAGTAGACAGGTGGCGGTGTGTGTGTCTGCCCCTCTCTCTCTCTCTCTCGGTGTCTCTCTTTCTCTCTCTATCCCTCCCTCTACTTCTCTCTTTCTCACTCTCTTTATCACCGCCTCCGCCACTGCTTCCACCGTGGTCGTTCCATAATACGTGTCACGACTTCGCCACAACCACTACGACCGTCAGCACCGCCAAGAGCGCACGACACCACAGCTGAGAGCGAGCCGCCAGCTGCACGCTCACCACACAAACACACACACAGACACAGACACACACACGAGAGAACACACGCACGTACGCACTCAGCCTGGTCTGAGGGGAAGTAAGGGAGGAGAGGAAACTACGCATGCGCAGTCCCCTTTCCAGCGCCGACAACATGGAACGCACGCACGCACGCACGCACACTGGCTCGCGAGGAAGAGGGTTCATGATAAGGCTAAAAACAATGCAATTGCAATGACGATAGTGATGATAATGATGGCAATGATAATAACAACAATGACATTAAAAAAACAATTGTAATAAATGACAATAAGTAATGATAATGACAAAAATACAATTCTAATAAAAAAAATAATGACGCACTAATAATCATGATAATAATAATAATAATAATAATAATAATATAATAATAATAAATAATAATAATAATAATAATAATAACAATAATAATAACAACAATAATAGTAATAATAATAATAATGATAATAATGATAATAACAATAATAATAATAATTATATATATATTATATTATTATTATTATTATTATTATATATAATAATAATAATAATAACAATAATAATAAAAACAAAAGAAATAGTAATCATTGTAAAAGTGATAATAAAAATAATGATGATGANTGATTGAAACAAGGAGAAATAGAAAAGGGAGAATAGAGAAGGAGAGGGACCGAAAGAAAGAAAGGCGAGAAGGAGAAAGGAGGGAGAGAAAACAGAGACCAACAAGGAGAGAAATAGCGAAGGAGCAGGCAAAGTCACACTGTTGTGATAAGAAATACGATGTTCCAGAAAAGCCATATATCTTCCGAAGTATGAAAAAAAACAGTCGTGGAAATAGAAAAGGAAAAAAAAAGGAGATTGGCTGATTTGGTAAACGGAGCCGGGACACGGGGAATAAAAGAGAGGATGCGAGGAAATGGACGTGGATATACAGCAGGCAGGAGAGAAGGTTGGAGTGGAACAGTAAGGAATTTTGATATCAAACAATTAATGAAAAAATGCATAACTACTACTAAAAATTAATAATAAATTAATAATAATAACGCACCAAAAATTATTAAATAATCGAATTAATAAATAATTAATATAATAAATAATAATTATATATAATATAATAATAATATATAATAATAATAATATAATAATAATAATAATTAATAACAATAATGATAACAATAATTATATTAATTAATGTAATAATAATTAATAATAACCAATAATGATAATAATAATATAATTAATAATAATAATAATAATAATAATAAATAATAATATATGCATACATTGATTACTGATAATGATAATAATTAATAAATAATAATAATTAATCATATAATAATAATAATAATAATAAGATAATAATAATAATAATAATCCCAAAATAATAATAACAATAATAATAATAATAATAATAATAATAATGAATAGATAATAATATTTAGAATTAATAATAATAATTAAAAGAAATAATTGATAATATAATAATAATTGATAACCAACAAAATAATTTCTGATGATCAGTAGTTCGACAGAAAATAGAATGGAAAAAAAACAAATTCCCAGAGAATTTTCAAAAATCATTGAACTCTAAATGATTGGGGAATCACCTTTTTCTCATATTCCCTTCATTCTTCCCCCTCTTTCCCTCCCGTCTCTTCCTCTCCTCCTCTTCCTTTTGTCTGCCTTCTCTTCTTCTTCTTCTTTCTTCTTCTTTCTCTTCCCTCTACATTTCCCTCTCTTCTTCCTATACTTCCTACCATTCCTTTTTCTTTCATCCTACTTTCCCCTCTTTCTTTATTCCTCTCCCTCTTTCCTCTTCCGCGTTACTTTTTACCTCTTCCCTCCACTCTACTTTCCCTCTTTTCCCTTCATCCATAATTCTCCCTATCTACCCCTACCTCCTCTTCTTCTTTCCCTTCCCTCTTCTCCTTCTCCTCTTTCCTTCTACCTTTCCTCTTCTTTCCTTCTCCATAAGTTTCCCTTCTTTCTTTCGTCCTACTTTAACCTTCATCTGCTTCCCATTTCTTGTCCTTTTTTCTTATCTTCCTCCTTCCTCCATATTCTCTCCCCTCTCCTCTTTACCTTTTCCCTTCCCCTTTTATCTCCCTCTTCCCTCTCCTTCCCCTCCCCCCCTTTTCTATCCCTCTTATTCTCCCTTTCACCTCTCCCCCTCCTCTCCCCTCTCTTTCTCCCCTTCCCTTCCTCCCCTCTCTCCCTCCCACTTCCCTTCCCCTCTTCTCTCCCCTCTCCTCCCCTCTTTTTCTATTCCCTCTCCTTACCCTTTCCCTCCTCCCTCAACCTCCCTTCTCCTCCTTCTTCCTCCTCTCCCTCTCCTTTTACCCTCCTCTCCCCACACTTCCCCCCTTTTTCCCTTCTCCCCTCCTCTCCCTTCTCCTCACCCGCTTTGTATTCCCTCTACCTTTCCCCTCCTTCCCTCCGTCTTCCCCTTCCCCCCCAAACCCCTTCTTCCTATCCCCTCTCCCACCC